GTCCAATGAAAAGATCTCATCCCTCATCAAAGGACTGAAGCCTAAAAAGGCTCCGGGCGCGGATGGCATCTCCAACCAAGCCCTTAAACATTTCCCTGAGCAGGTGAAACCCTTTTAGCTATTATCTTCAACGCCAGCTGGATGTCGTGGTATGCTTAGAGCATTCACCACCTCCCTTCTTCGCATTCCGGAGGGTAGCCCTTTCCATTGCATCTAGGCACAAATAAATACGGAGCGGGCAGTCTCAGCTCTGGCGTGACTCGGTGCACCAGTTGTACCAAGCTAGCTTATCTCTCACGGATGACTCTCACGGATAATTAATTTGAAATTAATTATTATCATTGATTATTAAAGTGCCCTGGTGCAATTTATAATTAATAATACTAAATATTATCCCGTTATCCCTGACTTCTTATTCAGCATGGCCGACCCATTTCTTCTACAAATATAAAAAATAAGAAATTAAAGCAAAAGTTGCATTGCTGGCACGTGTGACCCAAATAAAATGCGAGCGCAGCGCTCAAATTTGCTTCTTTTGTAGTCAGTTATTTTTTACTTGCCTCTGGGAAATATTATTTGGCTTTTAAATAAAATTCTCAAGAGAATTCTAAGTTGTCTATTTATGTATATACGTCAAACACAGCGCTGACCTCATAGCAGAATTTTTTTCATGCAGCAATAATAACTCGTCTTTTTGAAGTGAAAACTTCTTTAGCAATGTTGTGCACTTTTTTTGTAATGGGTAAAAAATGTTAAACTCGCGTCAGGTCACGTTACCTGATCGAAAATTCGTAAGACGAACGGAGAGTAGACAGCCGGCGCGTCGTAGTAGTAGTATTCAGGTTAGGTTAGGTTTAATTAATTTTCATTTATTAATTAATATAATTTTTTTATTAAGATTAGGTTTCGATCGAGTCTACTGTACTGCTTGACGAAATTATTAATATAGATACATATGTACCTACACATTATAGATGTAATATTTGTAATATGTTTATACTTTATAGCATTAACCTATATTTTCATAACATCACAATAAGCACATGTGCTGTGTAGGTTTACCAAACATATAATTTCGAATGAAAATAAATGAAATAAGATGATAATAAACAATCTCCGCCATTCCAAAATATCAAAAATGCACAACGTTAATATTCAAGTTTTCACTTCTGCCGGCACTCCCGGAGTGCAATCCGTCGTTTTTTTCTTCCGTCTTTGTTTGATATCCTGACACTTCTTGACATTAATTGACAGACTGGTTTGCTTGGTTGCAAGCATCAATACTTATGCTACGACAGATGTTGTCATATCGCAGTATGATGAAGTTTTTGTTGAACCTTCAACATATTGTTAGCTGTATGAAACGCTCTGCGACCAATGAATTCATTATATTACATATTATATAAAACAATAAAATATTTAAAGAAGACCAAAGTATTATAATACCATTACTTTTACAAAACATTACAATAATTTGAAGTACGGCCAAATCATTAAATATACGCAAATATTTAATTTAAATTTTTTGGACTATAAATGTCGCGATCCTGACTAACAGAATTATAATGAACAAAATGTATTTAAGTTCATTTTTGAGGTAAAAAGTTAAGTAATTGATAAAGTGCTTTAATAGACTTAAATAAGTAACTGACATTTTCTACCGACTTCAAAAATGAGACGGCACTCAATTCGACTATATGTTTTTTTTATGTTTGTTAACATATAAATTTTTTCTCAGTGAACCGATTTCCATAATTCTTTTTTTATTTGAGCTGGTACTTTTCATGTGGTTCCATATAAATTTGAACAAGACTTGACCAATAGTTTTGAAGTTATTCTTAATAATTTATATTGAAGTCGGTTGTAAAAAATGTTTAGTTTTAAATTATGTTATATTTCATTTAGCTAAGGGCTGCATATAAATAAATCCATCCAATATTGAAAGACACCCCATTTTTATAGAATAAGGGTGATAAACGAGCACACAGTGCTGCTGATGGTAAGTGGATGCTGTGGCCCATAGAAATCTACATTCAACCTCAATTAAGAATCAAAATGCAGGTATGTTGTCACCCCTAAGAACTGAGATGGATTATCTCGTTTCCAGTAAAAAAGTAGAAAATTAAGTAAAAATGTGCCTATGTTCAGCAGCAGACTATAGGATGATGAAGATGTAAAAATGTTAAAAGTTTGTAGAATTATTAATTTATTATTAAAACTGCTGCTTTGTTAACTATTAAATCATTTTTTAAGAAGTTAACGTCGATATCAGTTAAGTTCTAGAGAGAAAGACATAACAAGACAATATTTACAAGAATATAGGAAGCGACATTAGCCCAATGGCAGGGTGTGGACCACAAACTCATAAGATGGTGGGTTCGAAACCGCCATTAGAATACTGTCGTGAACTATTCCTAACACAAGCATTTTAAGCTTACCAGGAGTGATTACATAGAAAATTAATTTAATAATAAATTAATTGTAATAATCATCTCACGCACTGAGCATTTATCATCGTCATTACAGCCCTTCACAAGTCCACTACTGAACATAAGCCTGCCCAAAGGAATACCACAAAGCACGCTCCTGAGCCACCTGCATCCATCGACTTCCTACATATTTTACCAAGTCGTCACTCTGTCTATGGAGGGACGCCCTATGCTTCATCCGCCGGTACGACGCCGCAACTTGAGAACATTATTTACCCATTGGTTGTCGGTTCTTCGAGCAATATGGCCAGCCTATTGCCACTTCAAGTTACTAATCCATCGGGCTATGTTAGTCACTCTGGTTTGCAGCGGAATAATTATTTCTAAGTTTATCACGCAGAGAAATTCCGAGCGTAGCGATCTCCATAGCTCGCTGAGCGACCTTGAGCTTCTTCATCCGGCCAGCAGTGAAAGACCACGTCCCAGTTCCATAGGTCATCACTGGCAACACACACTGCTTGTACAATCTAATTTTGAGATTTTGAGGTATGTCGGACGAGAAGATGTATCTCTCGAACGCTGCCCATCCGAGTTGAATCTGTCGATTGACCTTTTTTTATGGGAGAGGGGGCAAACGAGCATGCGGCTCACCTGATAGTAAGTGACTACCGCCCCCTATGAACAACCGCAACACCAGGGGAATTGCAGATGCGTTGCCGGTCTTTTAAAAAGGTGTGGGCTCTTTTCTTGAAGGTCCCTAAGTCGTATCGGTTCGGAAAAATTGCTGGTTTCTTCCTCGATTTAAGTAAAAAATTAAAACAAACATTTATTTACATTGTAAGTCTTACAACACTAACTTATACTTCAAGTACAAACAATTGAGCAAACAAATTATGGGAGTTTTGGCTTTGCATGGTTTTAGAAAGTTTGGATAAATTTGGCTCATAGCTTGTTGTTTTAAGTTTCAAACACAAATCTGAATTTTCAAGAAAACATCTTCTAAATCGCACAGTGGTGGACCGCCAATCATCCAGATGGTGTGGATGATATCGGGAGTTCTGCCGCGATGTGCATTCGTGAAATTTGGCGGCTGGGATTGATCTGAACAAATCTTCAGAGCACTCCCCGTGGTAAATGCGAAAGAAAATGCAAAGAGATGCAACATCTCTTCGCATAGCCAATGGGTCGAGCCGATCGGAAAGGACGTGGTCGTTGACGATTCGAGCCGCTCTGCGCTGGATGTGGTCAAGTGGAAGGAGCTGGCACTGGGGAGCCCCAGCCCAGAGATGGGAACAGTATTCCATGTGAGGCCGAACCTGCGCCTTATAAAGTTGCAGGCGCTGTGCTGGCATGAAATACTGTCCCGCTCTGCTGAGCACGCCAAGCTTTTCTATAAATATATAAAAATACTCGTCATAAATATTAAACATAAATATTAAACATGATCTCTGTTTTTTTTCATGTTCATCTTAAGATACGTCAAGCATAGTGCTTAGGTCCTCTCGCGATTCTGCCATAAGGACTATATCGCCGGCAAACTGAAGGTGAGTGATATACTCGCCATTGATGTTAATACCGTATTCTTGCCAGTCCATTAGCTTGAAAACGTCTTACAACGCAACGGTGCAGTGTTTCGGGGATATAACATTACACCCGTCTAAAGCTTTGGTCTGGTGATCATGACGCACAACGCTGCGGTATGCGGTATGCGATGCCGGACACTCAATCATATGAAAAACGTCGAGAATGTTCTCTTGTACCGTCGCAGTATGCGTGAGCGGCGAAGGGCAAGCGCGGTGAAGTGGGGAGGTGTACTCCCGCACAGCGCGGCGTCTTCTCGTTTCATCGCTGCGGTGTGCGGGTGTGCGTCACGGGTTGACAATATAGATTTCTTCGAAGACAATTTAATAGAATTAGTTCGCAATTATCCTTCTTTATATAAAAATAAAGACAAAAAACATAACTTGTGTTAACAGTGGTAGAGCCACGCGGCAGCTTTTGCTGTCGCACGGATGGGCCGGCTCGAACCGGGGTGGTACCACGACCTCACAGAATACCAGCGTGAAGTAGAGGTTTACCTCTGCGTTTCGTTTGGTGAGTGCAGGTGGCCGGAGGCCCTTTTTACTGGAAATGAGGCATTCCATCTTAGTCCTCACGGGTGACAACGCATCTGCATTTTGATTCGCAAACGAGGATAGATGTAGATGTCTATGGGCCGCAGCAACCACTTACCATCAGGTGGACTGTGTGCTCGTTTGTCACCCTTATCCTATAAAAAAAAAAAACATAAAAGTTTGATAATTAAAGAAAATTGCTGGAGGGAGATATCTGAGAAGTTGAATAAAACACGTGAGTATTTTGTATATTTCTAATTGATTATTCGACAGCGGTAGGTACCTAAGTTTACATATAAAAATGGCAAACATTACTAGTGACACATGAAACATTTTGATGATTCTGAGGTTGGAAACTTGATGAACAATTTAATTTATTTAAATTTAATGAACAATTTAACTTGGTGGTGTTTATTTAGTGTTATAGAAAATAAGCAATAAGTTTTGAATTACTCACTTAACTTGTCCTATCTACTTCACTGTCTTGCCAAGGTACACTACCATGATCACTGTTGAAATACTGCTTGAATAAGTCACGTGTCACCGAACCATTTATATTATAACTTCTTCCCGGTATACGCGCCATAGGAATTACATTTTCAGAAGGCATTTCAAGAGTATTTCTGTCTGAATCGTGTATGACCAAAGAACTCATCATATTATGGATGATACAAGCTGACATAACCAACTTGTCTACTACACGAGGGTTTACTGCCATAGGTGAAAAAAATATTCGAAATCGTTGACATAATATGCCAAAAGCGTTTTCGGATGTTCTTCTTGCTCTACTAAGGCGGTAGTTGAAAATTCGTTTTGACCTATCTTGAGACGCATGATTTTTTGAGTATGGTTTCATCATATAGTTTGTGAGACTAAATGCATCATCACCTACGACAACATAAGGCATTCCTATGTCAGCTTCCGGCAACTTTGTTGGCGGGGGAATCTTTAGCCGCCCGTTTTGAATTTTCTTAAATAAATTAGATTTCATAAATATGCCTGCGTCACCTTCTTTGCCATACAAACCAACATCTATTGTTATAAATTTTCGATTCGCATCGACCACGGCAAGTAAAACAATAGAAAAAAACTGCTTATAATTAAAAAATAAGGACCCACTGTTACTTGGGCACACGATGCGTATGTGCTTACCATCTATTCTACAATATATCTATATATACAATTAGGAAAATTCCATAAAAAGCAATATTCTTCGGCTATTCTTTTAAAATCTTCCTCGGTGGGTTCAGGAAGTGCAACGTTTAAAAGTCTCAAGCATATACTTTGTAAGACTGTAGGCACAATTCTGCATATCCAATTATGGCTAATTTGGAATTGAAAACTTAAAGATCTAAAGCTTTCTCCAGTCGCCAAATACCTGTAAAAAAAGTAGGTACTTAATTAATGTGTCAAACATCGGTGCAAAGGTAGTCCGTTTCAGTTCAGTGGTCCGTGTAGGTAAACAGAATAGTAAATTATCAAATATGAATCCATCTAACTAAATCTTATTTCTCCATTAATAAAAATACTTTATTAATTCGGATTATCTCATTTAAAATCACTACTCATGTTTACCTCCACAGAACATCGAACTAAAACAGACTATATAGTAGTTCTATATTAACTAACAATGTTATTGTTTCAGCTGAAGAATGTAAGAATAAATGGCGTAATTTACGCGACAATTATAGAAAAAATCAGAATAAGAAGAAAACCGGAAGTGCTTCTTCCGTTTCAAAGTATGACGACGAAAGACTTAAATTCATAAATGACAGCTTTGAAGAAAGGGAGTCTATTTCTAATTTAAATCCCGGAAATGTTCTTGAGGATAATGAAGAAAACTATTTGCCAGTAGAGATATGTTCAGGACCACCAACTTGTTCAACGCCGAGTTCAACGCCTAATTCACCATGTGAATCTATTTTACAACAACCATCGCAAGAAGGACATTCAATAACACCAAACAAAACTCAAGGTACATCACAAGTGAAAAAGAAAAAAAGAGACAGTCTTGTCGAAGAGTTTAGAAAGAATAGAGAAGAAAGAACAAACATGTTGAGACAAATTACAGAAAAAGGCAATACTCCAGTACACATATTCTTTAGAAGTATGGCCGACGTAGTTTGTCAATTTCCTCCGGACAAAATAGCTCAAATCAGAGCACAAGTTTGTAACATCGTTACTGAAATGGAATTATTGGTCTTGGCGCAACGAGAGACACCATCCCCACAGCAATCGTTCAACACACCACAGCAACCAATCCACGCATACAACTCGCAACGAGAGACACCATCCCCACAGCAATCGTTCAACACACCACAGCAACCGATCCACGCATACAACTCGCAACGAGAGACACCATCCCCACAGCAATCATTCAACACACCACAGCAACCAATCCACACATACAACTCGCAACGAGAGACACCATCCCCACAGTAATCATTCAACACACCACAGCAACTAATCCACACATACAACTCGCAACGAGAGACACCATCCCCACAGCAATCATTCAACACACCACAGCAACCAATCCACGCATACAACTCGCAACGAGAAACACCATCCCCAAGGCAATCATTCAACATTCTTTGATGTTATACCGAGTTACTGTTTTAGTTTTTTAATTTCGATTTGCTCGTCGATTTATTATTTTTAATGTAGTGGCGGCGTTAGTTTCACCGCCTTATTTTGTTACTTAAACAAAGTCAATATTGCCAGTTAACAAAATAATATGATTATGAATTGTTTTATTTAATTACCGAAATAAATTCATTTAACTTACCTTAACGTTAAGAAAAGATTTTCTTGTGCCGTAATAGCAAAATTCCGTTTTCTGGTTCTAGGCTGTGTGTCACTAATATCATCTTTTATGGCCATTAAAATCTTGATAAAGATCTCCCTTGAAACCCGAAAGTAACCCATGAATTTTTCTTCATAATCAATTAAATACCTTTTTATAAAGGTTTCGTAACAACCTTCACTCCTACGTTGTAAAAACATGTTCCTTGGAGAGTTTCTTTGTCTATTCAGAAGCAGTAAAAATTCTTCTTCTTCCTCCTCTTCAATCAAAGCACAAATTACAGAAAAATTGTTCATGTTCACGTCTACCTTGGTAGCTGCGCCAAAATCAACTGACCACCTCTCCGCAGGGCGGTAAATGCTGCGTCGTGACGCTGCGTTGGGGCGCATACCGCAGCGTTGTGCGTCATGATCACCAGACCAAAGCTTTACACCTCTCTGCAGTTGCATATGTTTCGTACTCTCATTTTATTCTCCGACGGCCATCGTAGTCATACTGCATAAACACTTTAGCACTTCAATATATCGACGGTCGACTTGGCACCGCTGAATGGACTGTAGCACCGCCCACATTTTGATTGAACATGTGCAAGGCAAGTGGAAGATTGTACACTTCGGTCTACGGTACAATTTGCCGAAGGGTATTTATGCCGTCTAAGGTAATAAAGTCCTTTTTTAAATAAAACTAATTTTACGGATTTTATCGCGTATATTAACTTATTTTTAACTTATTTTTATATTCCCGACGTTTCGGGTGCTTTCCAGCACCCGTGGTCACGGGGGACGGAGTTGTTTGACGTCCTGTTGTCATAGTTAGCCCGGCTACCTTCAGTTTTTTAATATTAATTTTTGGTTCGATTTACGCAGAATGAGCTTACAGTATCTTGAAGTCTAGCAGTGGTATACTTGGGTTTGGATTTGATTTTATTAATTATGGGATCCCAAGCAGATGGCAGCACCCATCCATCTTCTCTATTGAAATTAGGATGTTTTTTAATTTCAATAGCCTCGCGAATCATCCTTGGGAGGAATCGGTGTTCTTTTGCGAGGATTTGTGGTCTATCAAATCTAATGTAATGACGGGGACGATCCTGAACATGTTCACAAACTGCAGACTTCCCGATACGTCGGTGCTTCACGTCAGCTATATGTTCTTTAACGCGGGTTTTAATAGATCTTTTTGTTTGTCCTATGTACGAGAGACCACATTCACAATCCAGCTTGTACACTCCTGCATCTTGTAGAGGGATATGACACTTGACGGATGGTAAAAATTGACCAATCTTCTTCAGCGGCTTGAAGTACGTTTTAATGGAAGCTCGCTTCAAGATGTAGCCAACCTTGTCTGTGACTCCTCTGACATAGGGTAGTACAGCAGGCACACGCTCGACTGTGGCTGGCTTCACTCGGTCACTGTGACGTAGGCGCGGGACCCGAAGCTTGTTGTCTTGCAGTACTTGCTCGACGTGCTGAAGCTCGGCGGCCAGATGTTTTCTGTCACAGATCCCTCGTGCTCTCTGAAACAAAGATTTTCCCACGGTAGCTAACTGTGAAGGATGATGGTGAGATTCACCATTTAAATATCGGTTGGTATGGGTATTTTTTCTGTACACAGTATGACCAATAGTGTTATCAGGATTTCGGATGACTAAAACATCTAGAAAAGCTAAAGTATTGTTTGCCTCTAACTCCATTGTGAATTGTATTTTAGGGTTTATGGAATTAAGGTGGTTTAAAAATGCAGTTACTTTGTCAGATGGTAAAATTGTGAAAGTATCGTCTACGTACCGCTTGTAGAATCTTGGATTTACAGGAGCAGTAAGAAGGGCTTTCTCCTCAAAGTCCTCCATGAATATGTCGGCGACTACGGGAGATACAGGTGAGCCCATTGCCACTCCGTCTACTTGCATGTAGAACTCTTCTTTCCACAATAAATAGCCAGATGTGAGGCAGTGTTTGAGTAATACTGCATATTCTGTAGGCATGTTGTTATCTTCTAGCTTTCTAGTAACAATTGAGATGCAGTCTTCAATAGGTAGGCATGTGAATAGTGACTGAACATCAAAACTGACCATAGTTTCATTGTCAGCGAGATGTAGGTCTTTAATCTCACTAACAAATTGGTATGAATCCTTTGTGTGTGCTCTGGTATGTCCTCTTAGTGGTGACAGTATTTTTGCCAAGTGTTGAGCCAACTTATAAGTTGGTGAATCGATCTGGCTTACTATAGGACGTAGTGGAGCATTTGGTTTGTGTATTTTCGGTAACCCATACAACCTCGGTGGTTTGGCACATGATGGTATTTAAAAATTTTATTTAAAAATGTGTAGTGTTCGCGTAAATATAAGAAATCATTATGTAATAAAGTCCTTTTGGAAACCAGCTTGTTCGGGAGGCTGGAGTTGTCAAGTCTGCGTACTAGATGATTTTAATCTCTCTTAAATAGCACGTAATCGCAGCTTAGAAGAAAAATTTATCTGTGGTTCTTCAAGAGAGCGTTGTCACCATTCTTAAAGAACAAGACCACCGAACTTCTGCTCCACGCCTCCGGAGTAGTCCTACCATGGAGGACGGAATTAAAGAGCATCTGAAAGATTTCAAGTACCGGTTTTCCACCTGCTTTCATAAGCTCCGCTGTGATTCCATCCTCCCTGAGGCCTTGCCATTTTAAGGTGCTGGAGAGTCATTCTAATCTCGTTCAGACTGACGTCCGGGATATCATCGGAATGGTGTCGAATAAGATTTGCTCTTGTGTCGTTACTAACACTTGCGTGTGGCTCTAACGATGATGTGTACAGCATAAAACCTCTCAATCTCAATAAAAACCTCAGGTGCCCCGGAAACAATGCTGCCGCACTCGGTCAAAAACCTTTGACAGTTAACTATTTCTGGCAGATAAATCTCTGGAATAGGCTTTAGAGTCTTGGTTCCGCTCCATCGTTTCTTCAATACAAGCTGTATTGAAGTTACGTAAGTCCTGCCGCATGCACTTGGAGATCTGTCTGTTCAGTTGCCTATATGATGTCAAATCTGTTAAAGACTGCAGTCTTATTTCCCATCTAACAGCCTTGAGATTGGGGTTGTGATCGGAAAGTTTTCGAGGCGGATCTTGATGAACATATCTCAAACCGCATGAACAGTTTCCACAAGCTTGTCGTTCATATCGTCCACTGGATTGCAGTCTTCTAGGCACAGAAAACGGTTTTCTAACTCGAGCTGAAAGGTTTCGGGACATTGGGTTAGAGCACGAGGGGGACGGAGCGTTGACTTCATTAGACTAAGACCTCTCCAATTTAATGTTTAGGTTCAGTGTTTTTCTAACCATTCAGTGATCGCTACCAGTGTTCACCCACGCGATCACTGAGACATCAATAAACAGTTGTCATCTGGTCGTCATAATGAAGTTAATCTCATTTTGTCGAACCGTACGGGCTCGACCAGGTCCACTTTCTATGGGGCCGCTTCTGGAAGAAAGAGTTCATCATAAAGAGTCTCTCTTTATCCATGTAGTTGGCCAGTTGTTGGCCTCTTGGGTTCCGTAGCCCCATTCCAAATTTCCCTACTTTCAGCTCACCGTTCTCTCTTGAGCCTATTTTTGCGATGAAGTCACCCATTAACACAGTGTAATGTAGTGGGTTTTGGAGGAATGCATGGCTTTAGAGATAGGCTCATACATTTCCTTCACCTCCTTATCGGGATATGCCGAGGTTGGTGCGTAAACCTGTATGAACTTCAACGAATACCGTTTGGTGATTCTGAGTATAAGGTACGAAATCCATGTAGACACACTCTCAATGTTTACAACGTTCTTGACGGCTCCGTGGCGCAGTGACTTAGTAAAAAGTTGCCCCACCAAGGGCCGCAGGTTCGAATCCTGCACGGCACAAATATTATTATGGCCTAAAATTGTTACGGGTCTGGATGTTTGTCCTTGTGAAATTTATGTATGTAAACTGCCCCCATAATACAGGAGAAAGTCCTAAAACGTTATGTTGTTTTAGGATTTTCTCCTGTATTGTAGGGACAGTTAGCTTAAAAGTTTTATTAATAGTTTTGGCTGTTAAGGCATGGTATCATCTCTCGCAAAATTTCGTTTGGACACAATATATATATCCTCTTCCCTCTGGACCGCCGTAAGGTGCAAACATACAATTTGTAATCGTATTTTGTTTCTTTATTTAATTTAAATTAATAAATAAATTAAATCGCTAAAATTGAATGATAAAATAATAGAAGTGCATAACTTACGAGAAAGTACACGGATTGATACGAGTTGAAAATTATCATCCTACAAGGAGTAGCTGCTGCCCTGGTACTTAAAATCAATCGTCCTATAGTAAAGTGCTCGGTAAGATCTTTTGTTTTAAATTTACCAACGAGCGCGGTGCGTGTGCGTAGTCATCCCCGGCTGTTGTGTTATGCACACCCAGTAGCTATATGTGTGGGCGTGGCCACAACGAGTTCGTACGCAACAGCTCCTGCACGGCTATTATATCCTGATATATTGATACAACGGCACTCCGCGATCTTCGTGAGCTTAGTTTTTATATTGAACTAAGTAAAATATTTTGCTTTTGAATTGCCATTATATCCTAGTACTGCAAATGAATAAATCATTCTCCGATCCCAATTTAATGGAACAAGTAGAGCACTCATCGCCAAACTTCATAAGTAGGCGTCAAAAAAGGGGCAGAGAACATGACTATGAGGAAGAATTCAAGGCGTTTAAAGAAGATATAAAAAACATGATGACATCATTATTAACACAACAACAAAATGAACTGAAAAAAATTTGCTCCGCTCAAATTGAGATCAAAGAATGTAGCAATAACATTGAACGCTCTCTTAACTTTGTGACTGAACAAAATGAAGTACTAAGAAAGAAAATTGAAAAATTAGAATTGCAATCAACTAAAGATAGAGAGTATATTATGATATTGGAAGACAAGATTGAGGATTTGCAGCGTGCAAATCGGAAAACCAACCTTGAAATAAAAAATATGCCAAGAATACCTCAAGAATCAAAAGAAACTCTGGTTGACATGATTACTAAACTAGGAAAAAGTATTAACTGCGTTATAAATAAAGAAGACATTAGAGACATTTACCGAGTACCACGAAAGCATAATAATAAAAGTGAAAACACTCCCGTTATAGTGGAATTATCCTCCACGATACTAAAATCTGAAATTTTGAAAATGACCAAGTTCTTTAATATTAAGAATAAAGCAAAACTACGGGCGAAAGACCTCGGTGCTTCGAAAAATGAAGAAACTGCTGTTTTTGTCTCCGAACAG